AATAGGGTGGGGTCTGAAGGGGTGAGGCTTAATAGCTTGGAGTTTAAGGGGTGGGGTTTAAGAAAGTGAGGTTTAACAGAGTGGAGCTTAGTGTAGAGCTTAATAGGGTGGGGTCTAAGGCGTGGGCCTTAATAGGGTGGGGTATAATGGGGTGTGGCCTAAAGAGGTGGTGCTCAATAGGGTGGGGTTTAAGGGGTGGGGCTTAATAGGGGGCAGTTTGAGGGGTGGGGTCTAAAGGTGAGGTTTAATGGAGTAGAGCTTAATAGGATGGGGTCTAATGGGGTGTGGCCTAAAGGGGAGGTGCTCAATAGGGTGGAGTTTAAGAGGTGGTGGCTGAGAGGGTGGAGCTTAATAGGGTGAGGTTTAAAGGGGTTGGGTTCAATAGGGTGGAGTTTAAGAGGTGGGATCTCATGGAGTAGAGCTTAATAGGGTAGGGCTTTATGGGGTGGGGTTTAGGGCAGGGTCTAAGGAGGTGGGGCTCAGTAGGGTGAGGTCTAAAGGGCAGAGCTTAATAGAGCAGGGCCTAAAAGGGGTGGAGCTTATAAGATGGAGTCTAAGAGGTTGAGGTCTAAAGAGTGGACTGTATGGGGTGGGGTCTAAGGGGGTGGAGGCTGTGCAGGTGGGGCCTAGGGGTGGGACTTGATGAGGCGGGGCTTAAGGAGGTAGAGTCCAGAAGTGGGGTTTAATGGGGTGAGACTTGGAATGGGGCTTAAGGAGGTGGGGCTTGATAGGGTGGGGTCTGTGGGTGGAGTCTGAGAGGTAGGGTTTAATAAGGTGGAGTTAAAGGGATGGGGCTTAAGAGGGTGGGGGCTCATAGGGTGGAGCCCGGGGTGGGCAGAGCCTGTGACATCCCCTCCCCTCCCCCCAGGTAGTGGTGGCCACCAACATCGCGGAGACGTCAGTGACCATCGACGGGATCGTCTACGTGCTGGACCCCGGGTTCTGCAAGCAGAAGAGCTACAGCGCCCGCACCGGCATGGAGTCCCTCGTGGTCACCCCCTGCTCCCGGGTACCGTGTCACCCCCTGTCACCTCCCCTGTCACCTCCCTCACTGTGTCACCCCCCCC